GAAGGTGGATCAGACTTTCTCTCCAGTACACTTTGCACTGACTCCTCCTCACCTTTTCAGGCTCCATCTGGAGATCCTTGGGCCTCTTCTCATGTTTTCAGGATATTTGTGTTAACTTCCAACGCTTTTAGGAGGAATGCTAGCAAGAATCAGAAAATGCTTCGCCTCTGCTTACAGTTTCAGTGTCTGATCTCACCTTTATTTGCCACTTTCCATTTTATCTCTTCTGCTTTATATAGTTTCACACTACTGTGTTGTTTCTTTGGCAGGCGGCGTATGACAAAGTGAGAAAGGCGAAGAAGCAAGCTGCAGAAAGGACACAAAAACTTGATGAGAAGCGAAAGAAAGTAAAGCTTGGTAATAAAATCAAAACTTCTTTTTCTCTTGTCTTGAAGTCTTCGTTAGCTGGGTGTTTGCATTTCTTGTACCACTGGAATTCACCATTGATTAATCTGCTGTCCATTTGTGATGGCTGTCATTTCTTTATGTGCAGTACAATATAGCAGCTGTCTGAAATCTCCTCCTGCAGTCATTGCTGGGGATGGTCCTGTTCTGGGAAGGAATGGGGGTTTTGATGACTGTTAGGACTGCTGATACATAGATGTGCCTGGGCAGAGGAAAGGCAGCAGAGCATCAGGACTCTACTTTGAAATTGGTGTAGGTGTAGCCAATTTTGTGATCTTTCCATTCACTTCTGGTCAGCAGCGTCAGCAGTGAAAATTCTCTTTGGATTGTTTTAATTTTGTTTCTTTCTCTGCAGATCTTGAAGCCAGAGAACGAGAAGCCCAGACCCATGAGAGTGAAGAGGAAGAGATCAAGATAACGAGATCATTAGAACAAGAAGTAATGATAAATTCTTAGATTTCTCTGCTTCTGTTGAGAAGAATTGCTGAAAGTCTTTATAATAATAATGAAAGCCATGTGATGACATGCAGCAAATCTATGTATAGCAGTCTTTCAGCCTTTTGGATTAATGGGCTCTGTGGAAGAGAGGCATGTAGAAGGGATCTTGTAGCAGTCTGGCAAATGTGTCAGTCTCAGAATTTTATTTTTTGTCTGCCCTTTTCCTTTTGCATAGCAGACAGTAACAGCTAATTGATTATATGCTGGCTGATAGGGACTGTGTCACTAGGAACATGAGGGGTCCAACTGTATGAGCACTGGAGCTGTCACAGGGGAACTAGGAGGGTTGCCCCAAGAGATGGTTGTAAGACAAAAGCTCTCTGTGGCAGTCTTTAGCTGGCATGAGCCAACCGTGGAACTGTGCCCTCAGATATCTGTGCTGTCTTACCTCTGGTGTAGATAATACGCCTGCGTGAAGAAGGCTCCCGTCAGCTTGAGGAGCAGCAGAGACTCATTCGAGAACAGATCCGGCTTGAAAGAGAGCAGCACATCCAAGGTGAGAACAGATGAGATCGGAGCACCCAGCCAAGCTACGTGCATGCGGGACTCTCCTGTAGACTTAGCTCACATACCGATGCAGCCTTCTGACTTGGTCGCGTTGCCTTATATGGGATCCTGCTTGGCACCTTTTTCAGGGATAAATCAAAAGACTAGTTGTGGGCTTGCTTACTTGTATGTGGCATGCTGCTCTTTAAGACATTGTTGCTGCTCCTTTTCAATAAACATTCTCAAGCATTGAGTCTAGATGGGCTGATGTAGAGCCCCTCAGTTATGCTGGAGAGAGCCTAAAGTCCTGCTGGTCTGTCACAATTAAAGCAGTCAGTGTTGCAGACTCAAAATAGGGAATGATTCAAGTTTGCAAAAAACAGTGGTTGTCATTGGGTTACTACTTCTGTTTCCCCTTGCAAGTTCTCAGTACTTATCACCCAAAATAGACTCAGTGTGGAGAAAAAAAGTTTTGTTTAGCCTATGGTTGCTGAGGCTTTACTTTCTGGAACTTTATGCTCTTGTGTTCCTTGGGCATACACAGTTTTAATCCCAGGTTTGTACAAAGAGCAGACACAAATCTTGTCAGGAAATGAGTGACATACTGAACTGGAAAACGTCTGCGTCCTGTGCTGCCATACAACAATGTGAAGTTGATGTGTGTGAAGTTCTCTCCCTCTAATTCTTGTGGGCTGTTAAGTAGCTGTAATTAGTCTCCTTCATACAGGAGGGGATGAGATTTTTCCAGAATCCCAGTACCTCATCCTTTGTATTCCTGAACCTCACTCCCATCCACACGTTTCTATAGTGAATTGGCTTTTTTAATATTCTGTATGTGTGGACTTAAAATACAGTTTTATGTTTCAGAAAGTTCTGTTCTGCTTTTCAAAAGAAATTAGAGTGCTGTTTAGTTCAATGGCAAGATTTATTGTCTCTTGCTTCCTACACCTTTTGTTCTGACACAGGCTATAGTATAAGGCCTGCTGCTTTCTCACAGGAAGAATGTTGATCTAATGAGTTAAAAAAAAAGTAAAAAATAATAACAGCAGAGATCCAGATGCAGAAACCCTTTGAGGTCACAGAGTTTTCCTGTATGACTGTATGTAAGTCATTCAGCACACCCTAGTCTTTCTTAACTTAATTTCACATATCAGGAATTGGGGAGGATGTTGAGCAGTTGCTTAGTGTAAAACACTTTGAGATCCTTGCAACGAGAGCATATCATTATGAAGTATTTAGTTGCAGGGCCAGATTAAATTCTTGGGTTATGCT